CGCCACAATCCCTTCTCCTCCATTCTCCTCTCAGGATCTTGGGCATGCACACACACACACCCAGCATGAGGTTAAGCCACTGGGTCTGGGACTCGAACCACGATTGACTACACAGGAGTCCAGCGGCATAGCCATTACGCCAACTGCTGGTCCCAGATGCTCTGATTCTTAGGTGGCATTTTAATCACAGGTTTGGTTACAAAATAAAACTAAGTGCATACTCAGTTCTCCTGGTAGGAGAATCAGCAAAGCACTGCCTAAGAGGTCGTGATTCTCACCTAGCCGCCTGGGCCGACTCACTCACAGAAATACCTGTGAGCAGCTTTCTGCTGTTACCTCATTTTTCTTTTTTTTAAATTTGCTTCAGGGTATATGTACCCACTGGAGGGAGAGAGAGGGATAAAGTGAGACAGCAGCCCCCAGGGACAATGGCCACACTGCAGTCCTTTCCCCTCCGTTCTCTTCTCAGGATTCTGGGCACGCGCGCACACAGACACACACACACACACACACACACACACACACACACAGTGTTTTTTAAGCCTCGGTCTGGATCTCAAACAGTCCTATTAGCCATGTGGGATCTAGCTGCCTCAACCACCATGCCACGGGCTGGCCCTGCCTCATTTCCGAGGGTTAAAAGTGGCTGGTGGGTAATGGGCAGCAAGGAGTTTGTTCACGGACTGCCTTGTGTCGCCCTCAGCCAAGTTACATGCTGCAGTCAGAAGACCTCCGGGCCTCCCTGCTGGCGCGGTACCCCCCGGATAAGCTCTTCCAAGCGGAACGGAATTTCAATGCGGCTCAAGACTTGGATGTCTCCCTTTTGGAAGGTGACCTGGTGGGAGTGATTAAGAAAAAAGACCCTATGGGGAGTCAGAACCGCTGGCTGATTGACAATGGAGGTAAGAATTTTGGGCCTTAGGTAAGTCTAAATGAAGAAAAAATGATTTTGGCAGTATCTGAATCTCATTTAAGCCAGAGAAAACATGAGCGTGTTTGATTAAAGGGAAATAAACCTTAAAAGTTCCTAAGGAGACTCCATGACTTAACCTTGTAAGACCCTGCCATGCTTGAGAGCACTCCCCGTCCCCTCAGCCTGTTTTGAGTACGCTATGAAATGAGCTGCCTCTCCCAGTGTCTGTACATTTGTGTGTTTGTGTATAAATGAAAAACCTATGGGGCTTCTTTTTTTTTTTTTTAGAGAAGTTTTTGCTATAGGGTGCATACACTTGCCAGAAAGACAGCAAGAAATCACCCCCTGGGGGGGATGCCCACTCTGCAATCCCTTCTCCTCTTGGAATCTTGGACACACACGCACACATGCCTGGTGTGAGTTTAAGCCACCGGGTCCAGGACTCGAACTATAGTTGACTACATGGGAGTCCAACAACATAGCCATTACACCAACTGCTGGCCCCTCCTTTTTCTTTGCTATAACACTTTTACCTCGTTACTATTTGGAGAATGACTTTAAAAGCAGGTCACAGGGGACCAGCAGATGGCGTAATGGTTACATCACTGGACTCCCACATGGCCGACCATGGTTTAAGTCCAGGAAATCTCTACAGCTTAAAACTCATTCTGGTGGTTGGTGGCATGGTGGTTGAGGCACTGGACTCCCACATGGCCGACCATGGTTCAAGTACTGGACCTGGTGGCTTGGTTTCTCACTCTCCCTTTCTCTCTCTCTCTGGTTGAAGTTGAAGAATAATGATAATAAATAAAATTTAAAATAAATAAATCTTTTAAAAAAGGAAAAAACAACAACAACTTATGCTGGGCTCATGTATGTACATGCCCAAAATCTCAAAGAAGAGAATTGAGAAGGGATTGAGGCATGACCATCCCTCTGGGGGGTGATTTCTATCTTTCTGTCTCTCTGTCTCTTCAGTGAGCACACATGCCTTATGTGAAAATCTCTCTTGAAAAAAAAAAAAAAAAAACAGCTCACAGCTTTGTGGGGAGAGATTTATGGAACTGAGAGAAAAGTACAAAGGATGATACAGATCTGTAATCCTACAGTTCTAAAATCCAAAAAGGTCTGAAAAACTTAGGGTTTGTTTGTTTGTTTATATATATTTTTAAGAACCGATTTACTGGGACCAGCAGTTAGCGTAATGGCTATGTCGCTGAACTCCCATGTAGTCGACTGTGGTTCGAGTCCTGGACCCAGTGACTTAAACTCATGCCAGGCACGTGTGCATGTATGCCCAAGATTCCGAGAGGAGAATGGAGGAGAAGGGATTGTGGCGTGGCCATCCCCCCGGGGGGTGATTTCTTGCTTTCTGTCTCTCTCTGTCTTTCTGGTGAGTGCACGTGCTAAAAAAAAAACAAAAAACAAAAACAAACAAACAAACAAACACCATTTACCAAAACTTGAATAAGGTATTGCGAGACTACTTATAATTGTAGCTTCCCCTTTCAGTGTGACTAGCTCTAACAGATGTTGTGATTACGGGGCACTGACCCTGCTTGGGGGGTGTGAGGAGATAGGTAATATATGTGCTTGACCATCTTCCCCCGAATCAAAACTAACCCCTGAATTCCGAAGCCCAGTGGCCCTAAGCGTTCTAGGTAAGGATCTTGGGCCGAGACAGTAAAACCTTAGCATTTCTTTGTTACTTGAAAAGCAGATCGTAGGGGCCAGCAGGTGGTGTGATGGTTAAGGGCACTCGACTCCCACGTGGCGGGCCACAGTTTGAATCCTGGACCTGGTGGCTTGCTTTCTCACGTTCTCTCTCTCACTCTGTCCCTCTCTAATCAAATTAAAAATAATAATAATAAAGTTAAATAATTCTTTTTTTTTCTTTTCTTTGGAGAGGTTTTTGTTTTTTTTGTTTTTGTTTTTTAATTATTATAGGGCACATGCGCTTGCCAGAAAGACAGAGAGACAGAGACAGCAAGCAAGC